AATTACAATATAATTCTTGGTTTAAGTCCGAGGTCAAACCCACAGGAAGCTAAATATTAGAATTCAAAGTAGAAACGGTGAAGTTTCTATAGATACAAAATGTAATGGAATAGCTTGTGTGGTGAGCTTTGAACAATTAAAATAAACACTTAATTAAACTATGGAAAGACAATAATTGAAAAGTACCCATCAGTTTGTGGATTCCACATTCATTATATTGTTTCAGTTATTAGAAATGCCACCTTACAACAAATTAACTCTCATTGTATTGGAAAGTCAATCGATAGGTCTGATGTATACTAAACCATAACACAACAACTGATTAGGTTAGCCAGTAGGTCTCTATACCATGCATCAGTTAAATAACCCTAGTAAACCAAAAGACAAGCCATTCAGAAGGAATATTACAGTTATTCATTCGGCAGGTTGATGATTCACTGATGACGAAATTCTAATTTATGCATTAAATCAAAAGCATTGGCTATGCCAAGACTTAACCCATCTATAACCAATTTACCGAGTGTTACATAAAGGCCAATCACGTACATCACTGTATCATGCATGAAGTACATAATTAGTGGATAGTATGGTATATAGCATTAAGTACCATTCAGTGCTCATAACCATTAGCATATTATAAATGTATCCATCCATCACTTAAGGGAGGTATAAACATTAAAGCATAAATAGAACATCGACATTTCCATAACTTAAACAATATCGTACATGTGTTCACCCTTCAACGAAGGGTATAAACAGACTACTCACACCTCATTGCTATAGATGAGCAAAAGGTGCGATATAGTTCAACTACAAACAAAACAAAATACAAGACAATCCTTCCCCGAGGAATAGTTAAAACGTTGTCACTCTTTTTACCGATTAGGGCACAAAAGTGGGAGATGTTGAACCCTCTAAATAAAAAGGAATAAATAGAAATGTAGAAGTAAAATAAAAGTTGACTGGAAGTGGTTCGGCAGAGTTTCACTTCACTGTTTCTCTCTCTCTCTCTCTCTCGCACTCTCTGAACTATCTTTGACTCACTCTGAACTCTCTCTGATTGACCCTCTTCTAGAATTGATGGACCTCTAAAAATGGAAGCTGAGGCTACTATTTATAGAAGCTGGAAGCTGTCTTGAGGCTACATAAGTCTTCTAACCAATCAGGTGAGTTTTGTTGCAGCTTTGGACCTATGGGAGGAAGGTAGAAGTTGAGGCAGTTTGCCCACCGTCCAAACGCCAACACCACCATTCGAACGGTGAGGTTTCTCCGGACTTGCTCCTTGCTTTGCTTGATGTATTGTTGATGTAATTACACTTGACTCCCCTGTCTGGTTTAGCTTGCACACATTGCTCCTTCTAACTTTGCTTAATTTCGCACATAACCCTAAGAAAGTTCAAGTTTCACACATTAACCCTAATTTACGCACTAACCTTAATTTCACTTATCTTGATATTTTAACCTAATTCACTTACACTATTGACTTTAAAACCTAGTTCATTAACATAATATTTAGGGTATATCATTGGGCTATGTACCAATGGCCCTCTAGCGACTCTATTAGATTTATCATCCTAGGTCGATCCTGATAGCCTTCAGCCCGAATGGGTTGATCGGGAGCCAACATTGTGGAAAAATCTTTATAGCTCAACCATTGTCATCCAGAATTTTTTTGGTTGATCCTCGTGATCTTGCTTGGGCAACAGCCACTCACCTGGCCGATCCCAATGGGTGCCCTTGTAATGCCACCCTTTCCACTGTCATTGGGTCAATTTTCCTCATTCATCCTCGTCCGGAACAATCCTATAAATGAATTTGCATCTAGGACATAAATTATTTTTGACCATGTCAAGCCGCTTCTAGAGATATGGCGAGATATACAGTTTTCCCCCAAAGTCCTCCTCTAACAACTCATCCTGGGGAGCACTGTCTTTCTCTCCCCATGGCTTCTTATAAGGTCTACATTTTTTCGCTAGGTTTTTGACTGCCCCATTTTAACCATGTTAATGGCAATTGTCTTCTCAAAATGGTCCTTATTAATCCCCATCTTTGACTTCCCCTTGACCCCGAAGATCAAATGGCCTTTAATTAAGCCGTCCTAAATGGCATGGTCGATTGACCATTTTCTCTCAAGAAAGTAGCAAACATTGGGACCTTATATCCCTGAAGATACTCATATTCCCTATCCACCCAGTTAGGATATGATTTTTGATACGTTGGCCTAGTTCTTTGCCAAGATTGGGGACAACCTCCTGAAAAAAGAGGATTGTTATTTCTGGCATATTGTGCCCTCTATGGCGGCACACATACAAGGGAAACACTGGTTGTTGTGTCTCTATGAGCGCTGCCTGTACAGGGGAAAACAATGGCTATCTCGTGTCCCCTGGACAATTCAAACTATTAATTAGCCACGCCAATACCTGAAATACCATATAATTATTAGTACAATGGCTCCATATATTGTGCCAACTCCTCTCGTAGGATTTGTTCATATTGCGTAGCCTGCGTTGCCAATTCAAGCAGGTCGTTGAACTCCATCCCCCCGAACTTCTTCCGATATTCAGAAGCCAAACCGTTATGTGCAATGCACACATACTCCATATCGGGGTAGTGCCAACCTACATTAATTCCTAGACTTCTTGAATCGCGGGATGTATTATTCTATCATTTTCCCTGTCATCTATTATAACCTAGCAAAGTTGGCCATAACTACCTCTGGCTCAATACGGTAAAATTGAACGTGGAACTTATCCTCAAGTTGCTACCTGCCTAATACAGAATTGGGTGGCAAATTGATTTACGATTTGAAGGCCATTCCCGAAAGGAAAATGGCAAACAACCGTAACTTCAGAAATTCGCCAACCCCTGCTTCACCACATTACAAATTGAAACGCTCAATGTGCTCCATGGTTGACTGACCGTTTTCTCCCAATAAATTAGCAAACATTGGGACCTTATATCCCTAAAGATACTCATATTCCCTATCCACCCAGTTAGGATATGGTTTTTGATACGTTGGCCTGGTTCTTTGCCAAGATTGGGGACAACCTCCTGAAAAAAGAGGATTGTTATTTCTGGCCTATTGTGCCCTCTATGGCGGCACACATACAAGGGAAGCACTGGTTGTTGTGTCTCTATGAGCGCTGTTTGTGCAGGGGAAAACAATGGCTATCTCTTGTCCCCTGGACAATTCAAACTATTAATTAGCCACACCAATGCCTACATGATTCAACCATATTCTCTCTGATTAAATTCCCCAAACCACTGATAAACCCAAAGACTTCCTAAGAGACTTCGTCTGACAAAACCTTAATTAAAGCCTCTAGCTCTGAGTCGAACTCTTGATTCTCTTCCTCCCCGAGTGAAGGCAACTCTTCGTACAGGTTAGGGATGCCAAACCTACTTTCTTCAACAACTTTGTGTACTAGAGGCACTTTCTAACAAGCCAATTTTGGCCTTTCCATGGGTGTTTGTCGTATGACTACTTGGTGTCCCATCAAGTGTGCAAAAAAATATGGTTGGCATATTTTTGGATTGTGGTGTGCCAATGTCCGATTGGACTTAAGATCCAAATACATACAACCTTACCTACTCGAACAGATGTGAGGTTCTAAAAATCATGAATGCTCAGATGATTGCAGTGAGGTGTAAATTTACCTTTTAAGTTCTTTTTTATGCCTTAAGATTCAAGACTTTGAATAATTTTTCAATTGACTGAAACATAAAAAAGACCACTGAAATGCAAAACAACAAATAGACTACATCCAGAAGAAGAAACTAGGTATCATACTTTGCAGATCCGTTAGCATTTTTGTTATTCCTCACATAGGTCTAGGAAAGGGAGAAAAATAAAGGAAAAGAAAACCGTCAACATCACATTGAACATTACCAAAAAAATATCATGTACACAGAAAAAAAAAAGAGAAAAAATTGCCTAGCTATTAATAATACTAACACACTGGCTATACCAGGGGAACCGTTAACACTCCGGTAAATGACTGAACCTTTCATAGTGATAAGATAACTACAAAACTTCGTGGGCGAGATCTCCTTCAAGTCCACAACTCAAGTGACCTTTCCTTTCATCCCCCTTCTCCCTCTTTTGTTTTGTCCTTTTGGGGAATTTACATGCTCATTTGTTTGTAACTTGTACCTTTAACTTCAATTCCCCAATTTGAGCTTTTCAGCAAGATAAGTCCCATTTGCTCTATCTTCCTTTTGACCTTCTCGTGATGCAAACTTCATACCATTGGACATCTGAACGTGACTAGATTGCTTGCTTACTTCCCTTGCATTTGTTTTCTCTCTGCTACTTCTATTCCTACCATGTAAGTGGTGCATCAGTATTAACAGTAAAACCACAGAAGGGCAGTAAAGAGTTGATATCAGAAATTTAAGCAGAAAATAAGCCATATACTGCCACTGAAAAACCACACTAGTAATTCCTAAAAAATGAGCACACCTGATGTGAAGCAAAAGAAACAACATGCCACCAACGGCTACGCCTTTTGCAACAGTTCCTAGCAGTGGCTACTGGTAGTGTTTGCCCCATTAAACTTTGGCACTTTTATCCTTTTTCTCATCCAAAACTTCTTCGAAATTGTCCACATCATTGTATTTTTTGTTATACACTCTTTCATTTTGTATGACAAGCCAAAAGAAAGTGACAAGGGTTAGCCAACATGTAATACTATAGTTTTGTTTGGGATCAAAAATTCCACTAGTGACAAATAACATAAATATATAAAAAAATCAAATTAACTAGCTGATCACCTCATTTGTATAAGCACAATAAATATCTTTATTGTGACCCATACATGCTTGATAACCTGTTTTACCTATACTATCCAAGACTTTAATCATGGAGTAGGAATGCTTTTCTACTGCCAGATCATACTCATTCACAGGATTGACAAAATTATGATAGGCAATAGTGTTTTATGCAGAAACCATGTGAGGTGTATGTGTATGTGCATCATGGCTAAGCACATCTCCAATAACTATATACTGTTGGCATAACTGGCTATGGCATCTTCACTCCCTCCAACTGAAGCATTATGACGTTGAGCATTTGAATCCTCACATATTACATCAACAATTTTACCATAAGAGTTTGCCAAAATGTAGTCCTTAATATGAGGATCTGGTTGAAACATGGTAGCAGCAATCACCACCTTGTCATTGTTTCTAACTCGGATAGCCTCCTTGTCATTATCTATAAGAACTAAAGTCATACTCTCTGGCCTAAAATCATCTCCTGAATCTCTTTGAGAAAGACAAATTTCATTAGGAAATGATTTAACCTGTTGATACTCCTTGGCATATGGTTGCCATTTATTGGTAGAGTAGACAAAATATCCGAGTGTCAAATCAAATCGAGATTCTTCAATATCGGAGATTAAACCATCGAATGGGGTTTCACATTTCACCATGTATTGAGTTTCATGTCCTACATTTGAAATCTTGTCGAGGTTGTTAGCCTCACTACTCATCAATTCAGTCAAGTTGACTTTGGCATTTCTATAATATTCGGCGTCACATTGATCATCAAAGACCAAGTTAAGCACACGACCCTATATAGAGCTCATACTGGTTGTGGGTTACACTTCCACATCTTTGAAATCATCATAAAATCTCCCTCAAAATCCATGCTGAGAAGTACTATGGGTTGAGCTTGATGCATGAGATGCAGTACTCATAAATAAATTAAACACATGGTCTTCTGCATCAAACAGAAAAGGATTGTTGCCAGCAGCTTCAAGGACAATCGAATATGAAAATTCCAAGTGATGGGAATTAGATGTTTCTTCTGCTTCATTTGCATTCATAGAATCCTCCACAAAGGAATCATCAATTCGCAAACCAAGATCAATATCAAAATGGTCCATAACACCATTTTTATGGCTACATATTACTCCATTATTGGCATGTCGAGCCCTATCAGAGTCTTTTTTGATATTTAATTTGTGGGATTGACATGCTTTTGAGCCTATGGTCATTCTGAAGATGCTTTGGGGAAAGAGACTTCACAGATCCTGTTATATATGCTGACTTATATTCATCATGATTGAACTCATCTATTTCTTGGTCTTGGGTATCTGGGTGTACTACCCTTTGTGAAGATTTATATCTTCTGACCACAGGATTCATGCCCGGCAAATCTTCAAAGTCTGAATTTGGGACTGCAGTACCATCGGAATTGTTGATGGATGAGTTAAAAGACTGTGTTCCTATAAATTTGCTTTCTGCCTCATCTGACTCTTCAGAACACGAATCATAGTTTTTATCAATTGCTACAAATAAATTTTTTTGCAGTTGAAGGTTTAAAGAAACATATGACCAAGTAAGTTATGCAGAAAATTATGCTCTTTTTCTCACTACAGTAACCGATCCTCTGCAACAGTAATTCCAAAATTTTAAGAGTATAATAGTATTTAATATGGTATATTTTGTTTATATATATAATATTACTACTAAGAAGTTGAATTCTAAACTTATAAAAGGACAACAATAGTCAAGATTGTTGATCTAAAAGTACAAAATTCATTCAAAGAAAAATTTTTCTGCTAAAAAACATCAACTCAACCAACACACACCCCAATGTGAGACGACATCACTAAATCTGCACTTACTTCTCTCTTCTTTCTCTATTATTTTCTCTATGTTCACTTTAATTTTAAATTGTGTAATTAAAGAAAAGAAAAGGAAAAATAAATTGCAAGTTAAAACATAAATATTACATGATCAATGTTGACTTTTTGTATTACAAAATGTCTTCAGACACGAGGTTATTGCTAGGTTATCTAATATTATAGCTAGAAGGTTGAATTCTCAACTTATTGAAGTACAACAAAGGTCAAGATGGATCGAAATTCCATTTATTTTGATTCAATGGAACAAAATTCATCCCAATTTGTTTTCCCGCTCAAAAATATCATTCTTTGCATGGCCCCAATGTCAGCCAACTGAATCAACACACTCCCCAATGACAGACAACTCCATTAATCGACACCTACCTCTCTCTCCTACCTCTAATTTTCTATTTACTCACTTTAATTTTAAATTATGTAACAAAAAAAATTGATACTTAAATATAAATATTCTACAATCTATGAAACATTTTTATATTGAAATATAAATTGTTCAAGCACACTTTTATTGCTGGTGTATGTATATTATATGTATGAGTTAAGAGTTAGATGCATAAAATTTATATTTCCTCCTCTGTTAATATTTCCGTAGTCCTCTCTTAATTAAGAAAACCCTATTCTTTAGACAATTTGGATCAAATAATGCTTGAAAAAACTTTGTACCTTGGATCAGATAATGCTTAAAAAATTTTGTACCTACCTGAAGTTTGCTCCTGAATCATTGGATGACCTATAACAAGAACTCACATAGCTACACTATGACAACTCTAAGCTTTTTCGAATGCTTCCAACAAAATTTGTTGGCATGGCTACTGTATAGGTAACCATATCAAAGTCGGGAACCTAACACAAAAAATAGATTGCTATTTTTATCAATATTGTTTAAACAGTTTGGGATATGCTTTGCCAGAATAATATTCAACTTCACATAAGACTATCGTAGCCAAAAGGTAAATAAATAAAAAGTGTAGCCAAAGTAATATTTCTTATGTCTAATCTCTTAGACCTGGCTTTTTTTCAGAGAGAATGTATGCAAATACAAACTTTACGGATATCTCTTTTCTCAACAACATCTGATGGGGAGAAGAGATCGATGCCATTCAATCCTAAAATTTTGCACATCTACAAAAACAAAGGAAAAAAAGACATTAATGGAAAGACAAGACATAATTTGTTTCAATTGGAAATCAACAAAATGGAAACTGAGATTTGGATTCCATGTTTTTTTCTTTTAAGTTATTCGAGAGCAAAGATTTGAATCACTTCGTATACTAGTTCTATTTCACTTATAAACGAAATAAGGAAAAGAGAAGGCAAATAAATAACACCCAAACCCACATAAAAGTAGGCTTGTTACATATATTTGAAGCAACTAATTAGACAACAACACAACATTTATTAAATCTGTTTAATGATTATAGCACTTCTTGGGAACTCGACCAACTAACCACTATGAGGTTTTGGGTGTGAAGTTCATTACCAGGGCTAATAATGGACCATTTTGTATCATGCCAAAAGATATTCAACCCACACTACCCATTTATAGTCATCTATACCCTGTAGATATTCAGTTCGAGACATGTAGTTAGGATAGTGTCATTCAATTGAAATCTTAAAGTGTTGTGGTTTAGAGTTTAGAATGTAAAAGAGGTAAGAGGAAAAAAGAGAAGACAAGACATAAGAAAATTAGGGTGAAGGAGTGTCAGAGATACCCAATCTCCTCTTATCACCTATATTTATATTAATCTTATAATAAGCTACAAATTACAATTCTACTATTATTAAAATATCCCAGTATTCGACCTCAAGTTGGAGCATAGATATCTTTCATGTCCAACTTGCATACATTTGAATAAAAAGTTCTACTACTAAGTCCCTTAGTAAACACATCGGTCAATTGTTCCTTGGACGTCACAAAGCGTATACAAATTGACCCATTATTTAGCTTCTCTTTGATAAGTGCCTGTCAATGTTAATGTGCTTTGTTCTATCATACTGGACTGGATTATGAGCAATATTTATGTCAGCCTTATTATCTCAATACAGATGCATAAGCTCACCATTAGAGAACCCCAAGTCTTCCATTAAGATTTTCAACCACATAAGCTCACAAATACCATGTGTCATCACGGTTCAATTTATCGGCCAATACCAATAAAAGTCGGTCAAGTCATATCCGACTCGACACCTTCCAAGACGATATCATTACACTATACGTATAAACCTAGAATCTTGCAAGACTCAACTGAGTTGGCTAAGTTATATTCGAGTCAATCACAAGTCACCCAATTATCATCACCGAATTAACCGATATGGTTTCGTGACACCACAATATAACCTAAATCTCTCATCATGTTCAACATTTTCTTTTAGATCACATTGCTTAATACCGTGCCGTGAGGCCGCAATCGATGTTTCTCAGAGCCCTGCGAGTCGATGACCGATATTGCGACCTTGAACCATGTGAGTCATAGCCCTATATTCTATATTTATACTAGATCTAGCCTCCATTGCTTGCTTCTGCTATGCCAAGTAACTAAATTTCCTCCTACAAAGGTGCAATAACCAGCTGTAGACCTCTTATCATCAATTGAGTCGGCCCAATCTGTATATATGAAGGCTTCTAATTTCAGATGATCCTATTTTGAGAACAATATTTCTTTGTCTAAAGACAACTTAAGATACCTTAGTATACATTAAACATGTTGACGAGGGACTCAAGGAACATGCATGAACTGACTAACAACACTTATTGAATATGTTATGTATGGGAAAGTGTGAGATAAGTCTCCCAACTAGCCTTTGATATCTTTTCCTATCAACTTGATCACCTTTATTATTTGTAAGTCTGTGGTTTGTCTTAATGGGTGAGTTGTTGTATTATAAAACTAGCATACAAGTTTCATTGAAAACATCAAGGATATACTACCTCTGTAAGATGTAGATGTCTTTATTTGATCTGACCACTTCAATCCCTAAGAAATAGCATAAATGCCCCAAGTCCTCAATCTCAAATCTTTAGCAAGGTGAACTTCAGTTTGGCCACTTCCTCCACATCATTACAAATGAGTATTATGTCATTAACATATACTATAAGAACTGAGATCTTACCACTCCCTTGTTTGATGAATATAGTGTGATCTGTATGACTTTTCTTGTACCCAAACTTGAAGATTGCCTTATGAAATCTATCAAACCAAGCTCTAGGAGATTGCTTTAATTCATAAAGAGACTATTTCTTTAGCTTACATACCTTTCCCTTTGTCACTTGAGAGGAGAAACCCGAAAGAATATTCATTTACACTTCCTCCTCCAAGTCCCCATGAAGAAATGCTTTCTTTACGTCCGGTTGCTATAGATCTCATCCCAAATTAGCAGCACAAGAAAAAATGACCCGAATGAAATTCATCTTAGCTACAGGGAAAAAGTCTCTTGATAGTCCATGCCATATGTCTGAGTAAATCCATTATCTACCAGTCTTTCCTTGTATCTACCCACTGTACCATCTACATTCTACTTGACACTAAACACCCACTTACATCCTTCTTATTTTTTTTCAATTGAAACAGACATAAGCTCCCACGTTTTGTTCATTCCCATAGCTCTCATTTCTTCCATCATGGCTACTTTCCACTTGGGCTCTACAAAGGGCTTTATACCAATTCTAAGGAAGAGATATAAATGACAAAGACAAAACAAAAGCACGACAGGAGGAAGATTGAGAGTCATAAGAAACAAACTTAGAAATAGGATGTTGGGTACAAGTCCAAACTCCTTTTCAAATAACAATAGGTAAAGAACTATCATTAATAGGATTATTGCAAGGAATCTTGTTACCTAATGCAAGGGAGGAGATCTCAAGAATTGAGTCAAAAGATGATGACTAACTTGGTAGCTCATAGATGGTGATCTTCTTTCTCTGTCATCAATTATAGCACCACAAATCATCCTTATCTAATATGCCACAAGTAGTCTACTCCCCTTGAATAGGTGTTTCTCCCTAAGGCTCCCTCTAAATCAAGGACTGATTAAGAGGTAAGAAAAGAAATCCATTCTGTAGCATCTCTTCTTGAATACATTGCTCCCCCTGAAGAGATGGTGGAGGAATGGAGAAATATGACTCTGCCTCATGAAATGTGACATCCATACTAATATATACTTTCCATGACTGAGGATGATAATACTTATTTATACCCCTTTTTGGGTAGCAGAGTAACCAATAAAGACACAGTGCAACGCCCTTGGATCTAACTTCTCCTTGTTCCTTTGATAATCATGTAGAAAACACACATAGCTAAATACCTTTGGGGAAATAGAGCAATGAAAAACTGACCCTTGAAGCAACACTA